GGTCTTTCAGATCATGTAATACTGGGCGAATCGAATTTTTGACACTATGGTTAACTAAGAGGATTTATTGAATACCAAAAATTTAGGGATACAGCAGCGTCTTGTCTATTTGTAGGATAGTTCGACACAGCATCGCCCAGTATTACATGATCTGAAAGACCGTCAAAAATGACTCTTGTCAACGTCTCGAGCATGAAAGTCACTTATAAATCTATACATTTTAGCTGTTCCAACGGTTCTGCGAATGGCCGCCGATAACTCGCAAAAAACGACTGTACACGTTATCAAGGGTACCTGAATATCTAATTACCAATTTCACCACCACATCTGAATTTTTCTAACAGTGCTGCTAGAAAAGAGCATAAAACGTTGCATATGTGGCACCAAAAATTAAATCTTTTCTCATCATTTTTTATACAAAGCTTTTCCATGAAAAATTTAACCGTCACTGGCCAAAATTACGATTTTTAATTCGAGAAAAATTCATCCAAAGATTGAGAGTCGGTTAGCTAGTCCATCCGATGATATCTAGCTTTGGGTAGATACAGTTTTTAAAAGTTCAAAATTTCGTATTTTTGCGTTTAAAAATCGAGTTTTCAAAATAACCTCATTCATTTCCCACAGAATTCTATTTCAAACAACTTTTGTCCAAAATGGGATGCTGAAGCGATTTTTGTGCCAAGATTATTTCAGAATACTTTTTACACCAAAAATGAATCGGACGAGTCAACCCCAGTTTTCTCCCTCAAATCTCTCCCGTTAAGGCTGAACATTTTTTTGCAAGTAGATCTCGTGAAACTTGGCGGATTTTGTAGAGTTACTCGAATAGTATCCAGAATAATAATATCTCGAAAGGTTCACATGTAGTTTTCGTGGGGACAGCACAAAGTTCAAAAGTGGATCTCGAGAGGCGGCGTATTGTAGCTAAACGGTAAGTATTTTCGAGCTTGTTCTTGTAGCATTCAGACAAGTTTCAGTGGCGCTTTTCTTTGGCTAGCTTCAGTAATGCTTTTTGTTCAATTTAAACTAAGACTGTTTCGCTTAATCTTTGGATTAATCAGAACGGCTTAACATCGGATTGAGATTATTTCAGAATAACTTCAGGAGTACTGAGAAATTTCTGCTAAACACGTTCTTTTTTCACGCTTGGCTTATTACACTGTATAGATGTCGCAACAGTTTTTTGAAGCAGTATTTCTTTTTGCGCATTGTTGCGCGGGACTCTTGTCTCTATTGGATCCTCACCAAAGCTCTTCGACTTCAAGACATTGATCTTCTCTTCTCAACGACATTTCTCATCAGTGATATTAGCCAACAGCTGAAAAGTGAACATCGAAAGTTCGTGAAAAAGAAAGGTGTAATTCGAGTGTATCGTGGTCAAGCAGTGTTGACAGAAGAGATGAACAAGTTGAGATGCGGAGAAGGACAGTTGATTTCATTTAACAACTTTCTCTCGACGAATCTCAACAAAGATGAGGCGTTGATGTTTGCCCGCCAGATTGTTTCCTCTGACACTTTGCAGCGTGCGTTCTTCGAGATCAAAGTGGACACTCGACTCGAGAATCGTGCATTTGCTGAGAGAGAGGCGTTGTGGTGTGTCAGGCTAACATTGTGTAATGAAGATGATCAAAATATGAAGGAGATGTATGAGCATCAGAAGAAGAGTGTTGGTGGTGGAGATGAACAAGCCAGTCTCCCCTCACTTGGTAATATTTTGTACAACATGGGTGAATATGAGAAAGCGAAACAATACTACACTCATGTATTGGATGAGTTAAGCGGTGATGATAGAAATGTTGCTGTGTGTCATTATGGACTCGGCGAAGTAAGTGGTGAACGAGGAGAATATGATGTTGCACTCGATCATTTGAATGAAGCCGTGAAACTGTACAAGAAGTCTCAACAGGCGCACGACACACTGGACATTGCTCAGTGTTATTGTTGGATAGGCGTAGTGCACAGTTACAAAGAAGAATATGAAACAGCGCTTTCTTACTTGAGCAAAGATTTGGCTATAAAACAAGCGAAGCTTCCTGCTGGTCATGTTCGTGCTCTTGTCATGTGCAAGAAGGTATTGCCCCCGACTCACTCTTCCATCTTTCCCGATCGAGCTCTCAATTGTTACAATCAAAGTCTCCAGATGGAGCGAAAGTCACTTCCACCCGATCATCCGAATGTAGCTACTACTTACTATTCGATCGATCGTGTGTATGAAGAGAAGAATGATTTGACGACAGCTCTCGACTATTTTGAGCAGTGTCTCGTCGTTCGAAAGAAATCTCTTCCACCACCTCATCCGTACATTCAAAGTGTGGGTGACGCTATCCGACGGGTGAAATCGAAGTAACATTTGGTTTATTTGCATGAACTTAGACACTTGTTTTCTTGTAGTTTTGTGCACTACTACTTATAATGACAGAATAGTCTGATCTCTTGACTTCTGCAGCAGCTATTAAGAAATTCTCATAAGTTAGATTCATGCGTCACAATAAGGCATTTGAACGCATTAAAGTAGACAATTTCGCGCCGCTAATACGTGTGGACGCATTAAAAGGACAAAAATTGAACCTGAATCGCAGGTCTGAAATAGTGTCGAAGCATTACAATGTGTTAAATCTGAATTTTTAGTAAGAGAATAGCAACAGAGTGTTGGTAAAACTAGCAGCCATGGTAGAACCAAGAGTTTGAACCCTAGTTCAAATTTTTTCGATTTTTAAAGTTTTAAAATTTCGTGTTTTTCAAATTAAAAACGAAAAAAGGACAGTTTAATAAAAGCCTCTCGTTTGGGACTGCAGAATTCGATTTTGAACAACTTTTATACTCAGAGTTTTGCTTCAAAATGCTTGCTTCGAACGAAACTAGTCGTTGTTCAAAATCGTGGTGCTATTCTCTTACTAAAAATTCAGGTTTAACACATTGTAATGCTT